ATTTTACTGCTCTCTCTGCGATTCAGATAAAAATACATTGTACATTATTCTAATGAGCCAGAAAATACATATGATATATGACAAATAATTTTTTTACAGAAAATAAATGTTCATTCATAAGCTAGTAAGTGCTGGATCAATTTACCAACTGCAATTTGTGTTTTTTTGTCCTTCTTGCACTATTTATAATACCATGTCTGCATTTGCATGTCAGCTTCCAACACTTCAGATGAAATCATTCATTGTACCTATTGCATATGACCATGTCGTCTGTCTCATCCTGACTGCAACATGTACAATACGAGACCTGACTAGCTTCGACTGATGCAGGAGATGTAGACGGACCAGCAAGACCAGGTTTCTCTTCTATTTTACGAGTCAGAAGTTCCAGTAGAACTGCTATCCTCCAGACAGCCTGAAGTCTAACAATCATAGTTCCAATGAAGTATTCATCAAGCTCAACTCTCTGTTTGTGACATGAATATTTTGTCCATACTACAAGGTCACCATACTGAACATTGCAGACCATCATCTACAGCTGCATCTGTGTGTAGTAGGAATGTGTCATCTTCAACTTCATACTGCTCTCCAAACAGAATTGCCTGCCTTCTGTGGCATTGGCTCCAGTAGAGTCCCTATGAACATAAGGGCATTTTACTTCAATGATATCCTTACCACAGCAGCTACAGCTCACATAACCGTCTCGTGATACACCAAAGAAGGGGTGAGTTTGGCTTATGGTAAAGCCTGCTTTCAGTGTCGTGCACTGCCTAAGAGAGCCCTTCATTATTGAAGAATACACCAGGATTGCTTCATGTTTGTGCTCTCTTCCACATTTCAATGGAACCAGATTTGCTTGACATATTTTCTTGATTAGGGATGGTGCTAGCGACTAAACAAAGTGTTCATTGCTTGATGTGCAGTAATTCGGCTTGCCTGTTGATTGTGCCAAACAAGTGAGGATGCCTGTGCTTTACTTGAGCTCTCCACATAGCTCACTTGATCTGCTGTAATACTGATATTGACCATGTCCCAAACTTGTTGTAATTCTCCATCAGTGAGGTTTCTGTTCTTTATGTCGAAGAGTTTTTGAAGTGTTTCATGGCAGTCTGATGGTAGTCGGTGCCTCCTTTCTTGGTATATTGCATGTAGGCTGAGAGACCCACAAAGTTTGTAGGACATGTACATTCTGATAGTGAATCGAGGAAGCGATTCTGCTCCTCCTCTGTTGCAGGAGAAGGTTCAGATTTGCTCTTCTTGAAATTGTTTAGTTTTTCCTTAGCCTCTGAGGAGTAGAACCAGATCTCACTCAGTTATGTCAGTGGAACACGTGCTTCATGTAAAAATCCAGGCAGTTCCTGTGAATGAGATTCAGTTCTCACTCACAGGAGCTGTCTGGATTTTTGACATGAAGCACGTGTTCCACTTACATAACTCATCAGTACAGGCTAACATGATGAGGCACATCCTGACGGCTGTATCAGTTTTCAAGAGCAGAGCTGCAATGTGCAAGCAACTTTCTCCAAGCCTGGAAAGAGAGAAAGAAAAAATACATGAGATGGTTCAACTCCTAAAGTATATCTAATCATACTGTTTATGTCTGGTATGAGAGAGCTCATCTTTACATGGTTACAAATTTCATTCACCCCACCCCACCTGAAAAAATTAAGAAAATGGTTAAAATCCAAAAGGATATCTAATTTTAATGTTTATTATGGGAATGCTCAGTCTTACATGATTTCAAATTCTATTCAGTAATGTTATATCTCTTCATGAAATTAACAAAAAAGTTAAATGAAAGAAGTGACTCACACTGCCATGCAGTCACAGTGTGCTGCAACGATTACACCCTCAGTTGACCTCCGACCTTCTTGTGAAACACTGTCTGCACCCAGCCAGAGATGAAAAACTTGTGCACTTCCAATGACCGTAAGTTTTTCATGGCTTCTTGCCTTGGACAAAAAATAATAATAATAAATAAAATAAAAAATTAGTGAAAGAAATAATTATTATTATCATTATTTTATTTGCCAAGAACTTCACTTTTGAAAATAATTATTGCCTAGCTAATGTGTAAATTGATACCTAAAGTTGATAGTTGACAGTCAGTTCTAACAGACTACAAGATCAAGATCAGGTGAGTACACAGTTCCAAGAACATTTTTATAATCTTCGATTTGTCTCAACTACAGTTTAGTCATGTAGATTTTTTGCCAACACACATGACAAAATCAAACACTTTTTCAGTACACTTCAAATAAGAATCATGCTTATGTTTGTCATCTTTGCAGAAAAAAAAAATCTGTGTCCAGTTTTTCTGATTTCATGCAAAATCAATAGGAAAAAAGTCAATCACAGTATACCCATGTTCATTTTACTAAAGACTAGACTTATTATGTCCAAACTCCTGGTTCTAAATCACATTTCATGGCAAAATAAATGAGAGACTTCATAAAAAAAAAGATGGTGCAAAACCTGACATACTCGTCAAAAAAAGAGAAATTACATACCCGGTGTTTCCACAAGGTAATCGTACACATCTGGGTACTGCACACTGGGCCATCCTGTCAGGTGACTGATCTATGAAGCGGCAAGATGCTGGCATGGACAAGAATCAAGCCCAATTAATTGTAACTTTACTTGATATCTCACTAATGCCTCGGCTGACAACTTCTCCATGTATTCATAAGACATTGCAACTGATAATTTGACTATCAAACAATAATATGTATATGATAATTAAAGAATCAGCATAGGAGATTCAGCAGTAACAAGTGTATACATATTCACAGCTGTACTCGCTTCACTATTGTTTGCCCCTTTGTCAAGATGGTGATTGTGTTACTAAGCAAAATCACATGACTATGATGTTGCACCAACCTCAAGAATAAATGCGAAGAAAAGTGATGTACATTAGTTATAAGATACACACATATTAGATAAATTAAAATGGTATTTATAAGATGCAATTAAAACTGAACATTAATGCATATCATGAAAATTATAAATTGCAAAATCTATAATTATGTTAATCTTTAAACTTTCTCATGTGTGGATACACAATGTACACAAATGTATCATATTTATCATATAGAAAAATACTAAACTGATTACAATGACAAGTTACAATCTTACCTTCTCACTAAACAGAAACTTTTTCTTTAATCAGGGATTTTTAATGGCCAGATTTTGTCATGTCTGACCTGGCAGTAGATAGCAATAATAATTCACAGTGATTTTAAATATTAAATCATTATAGATGTGATATAACCTGGTAGTCCCTAAATTAGATCCAGATATTATTTGGCACAAAAATACTTTCATCTTACCTAACTGTGCAGTGTATACAAATTACAATGACTAACTTTTGATCTGCATAGCATGCTAGCACCTTGCAAGTAGACTTATTTCTTGTATCTAAGGTCATAACTCTTTCAAGCTTATATTATTTTTAATTCTTGGGCCAGATTAGCCTAATCTAATTAATACTAGGGAAAATCCTAAGATAAGCTAACAAAGTGATGATCAACATGAGGCAAATTAAATATGAACTTTGTATTCTCTGATAGATTGTTTAGGCAGAATATTCATGATGAAACTTTGTAGAATGGATGACAACTGCCTATTGTAGAAACAAAAGTGTAGAGGATGAAGATGAAAGGCAGAAGACTTTCGAAATGTCGTCCTCTACATTTGTGTCTCTACAACATGCAGTTGCCATCCATTCTACAAAGTTTCATTATGAACTTTGTAGTTTTTATGTCTTCCCATAGGGACAAAGTTATATTGCATTTCTTGTTTCTTTCTTCTCTTTTCATCAATAATAATTGTGCACAAGTCCTTTAAATATTTCTAGGCTGATTATCATGAAACCTGGATGTCATATACACCTTTTGGGGTCAAAGTTGAAACATTAAAAAACACACATACTTTGGCCACAGTTCCCTTATATTTCCATCAATCCAAATGAAAGTTGGTAAAAAAAAGTTAGCTTGCAACAATCCCATAGACTAAAAAAGACAGATTTGAGATTTGTGACTTTCTTACATTTTTACAGGGGTCAAAGATAAAATCATAAAATTGTGGTTTTTGGGGTGATATTTCTTTATGTTTTTACTACTCCAGATAAGACGTTGTGCAAAGGTATCTTACCACTCCCACAAACTGAAGTAGAATTACAAAAAAGATGTGCCTTTCTTATGATTTTATAGAAGTCAAAATTAAAAATATTTTGTAAAATTATTGTTTATGGCCTGACATTTCTGTATACTGCAATAAATGTAGATGAGACATTGCACAATGGCACCTTGTGACAACCCCAATAAACTGAAGCAGACCTATTTCAGATTTGTACCCTCTTTTGATTTTAGAGGGGTCAAAGGTAAAAACAAAATGTATGTAAGTGCTCTGAAACAGGACTAGAGACAATGTCTCCATATGTAAAAGTTATAAGTGACTGTTATTAACAGTATTTTAATTCATACTATTTCATGCATAAAATTGCATATACCTTGTTAATGAACATGTTTTATGTTCCCAAAAATTACATGCAACGTTTTTGTCATTGTGAATACATTTACTTATTCAGAAACTACCCTATGTACAAAGAAGTCTGAAGTTCAGAGTCATAATGCTGAAGTATTCCAGCTGCAGTTTATGCCTCCTTCCCTTGCCTTGAAATACCACTACCAATCTTTCTTGAAAACTATTGTTTTTGTATGGATCTTAATTCTTATCGAAGGTGGATGATGGTAGAAATGTAGCATTCGCTTGATAATGTTGACCTTTAGGCTTTATTATTTAAATTATACTTAAATTTGCTTATAACTTATACTTCCTTAATCCTTAGTTCCTATTTCTTATATTTTCGGTTAAATGAGTAATGTGTTTAAATAAATTAACATCCAAAATAATCAAATTTAATCATTCTACAATGCTGATTTTATAATTATTAACACCTCGAAACATGAATCATTGAATGATTTAAATATTGTGCCTACCGCTGAAGTTCTTTTGGTGTACGACAAGCTTCATTCTGTTTTCTTTATAACTTGCATTTTATCACAAACATTCACCTCCTATCCAAGAAAGTAAAACTAGTATTGAATATGTTGACTATCGTACGCCAGTATACTAGACTTTGTAAAAGTAAAACCAGAATGAGTTCTGACGTCCCTCGAGGTCGTTTAATTTAGTAAAAATAAGTCATTATCACTTTCTAACTTTTCCGTTTTTTTTTTTTGTTGTTGTTGTTGTTGTTTTCTGGCTTTCTCATACACACTACAATTACTTGTTTATTCAGTTTATATATATATGTGATCTTGTTACAATAATTGTAATTCCTCTTAGAAAAACAAACAACACGTTCTAGCTATAGAACACGATTCGTGAAAATAATGGAATTTAAAAGTCACGAATTTTTTCTACTATGACATATCTATAACATAGTTAGGTCTGAAAGTTAACTGAGTTGATGAAAATTACACTTAAAAATTTTAACAATACATCAATTAAATTTGCAAAACATATTAATCATTACATATATTGATGAAAAATCGTCATTAGCTTCAGTTTTTATTGTTGTAAGCTATATTTTCAATGTTTTAATTTAGATGCTCACTAAAGGACGCATGACGTTAAAATCGAATAAGTTCATAAAATTAAAAGTTAAGAATCGAGATATTGTGGAGCATGTAGAAACAAAGGTGCGATATAAATATGATTAATCAGTCATGATTAAATCAGTTAATGAGTATTCGACGAAAAATTCAAGTCATTGTTTGAAAAGCTATGAATCAACATTTCTGCGTATATTTAGTGAGTTTGCGTGTTATTTATATGTCTAAACTATGTAAGTTAATACAATATACATAATACCATTAGTTACGAAATTATAGCTGAAACGTCGTTTCAGAATTTAGACCTACAACTTGTGTGAAAGAGAATATAGAACGTGTCAAACTTTATTGAAGAAATAATTAATTCGTCATGGTTACATGGACTGGACTAGGCATTATTTTTACCAAATAATCCAAAAGAACCCACCCAACAATAGAACATATTACAATGTTGGTGTAAGAAGTGGGATTATTTTGGTGAAAATAAAATAGAACTTTGACTAAACGTCAACTTAAAGATAGTAAGTCCGATCATGGAGTGAAGTAGAAATTTTATTAGAGATAATGAAACAGTTAAAAGAAGGTCAACAGTAATGAGAGAAAAAATGAAAAGAAAATCAAAAAGAAAGAGTGAGAAAATTAAAGGAAGATCAAGAATAAAGAGAAAGGATATTAAAAGAACACTAAGAAGGATACAAAAAATTAGAATAGTGTGACAGAAAATAAAAACAAAATGAAGATGAAAGAAAGATAAAAAATTTTTTAAAAGGTCAAGAAGAAATGTGTAGAAAATTAAAAGAAAAACAAGAGGAAATAGACCAAAAATTCGAATACAAAACATAAAATTTAAAAAAGGTTAAGAAGAAAGAGACAGGAATTTAAGAGAGGAGTTAAAAGAAAGATATATCATATTTAAAGGAGTATTAAACATATATATATGATTGAAGAAAAGTTCAATGAAGCTATTGGAGATTTACAGAGGAATCACAACAATTAGCTTGAACAAGTACAGAGAAACATAGATGAAGTACAGAAAGGTTGTAATGAATAAAAAATCAAAGTACAAAAAAGAGATCATTGAAGTAGAAAAGAACATCGGCAACAGAATAAAAAACAAATAACGAATTGGTGAATGCAACGATTAACCATCCACAACTTTTTTTTTGTGCTGCCCAAGAATTATAAACTAAAACACCATTCACCACAAAATATAGTATAGAAGCCTATTTGTTCTATATCTATGACCACTACTGCTGTGTCATTTGTTACTGCAGGACCTTTCTGGACTAATGCAACCATGTCACTACTAAATCCAGTTCCAGAATTTAGCTGGCCAGTTCAACAACATTGCCCAATCAAGAAAACAATGTATTATGATGAAAAGGTACCATGGAAGGCATATCAGGGTCAGTTCTAAATAATTTTTAAAATGAATGGGTGGAATAGTAAGTGACAAACTGTTCATCTTACTGCCCATTTCAAAGGATAAGCTTTAATGACACTAAATAGCCTTCCAACAGCTAGACAATTGGATATTAAGGAGACATGGAGAGAGAATAAAAGAACACTTCTATTGGGATGTATGCTGAGGATTTGTAAAGAATTTGTGTAAATTTTGCAAAGTATGCTGTGTCAAAGGGTACTGTCACAATATGGGTACTGTCACAGGTATAACAGTATTGTAATGATTGGAGACGGCTTGAATGGGTAATGAAGAAAAACTTTAATACAAGTTTAACATAACAGCAACCATTATTAGTCTCAAAGTGGGTTCCTTGTCATCAATAGCATTCTTGTGTTGGAGCACCAAATAAGAGAGTTGCAGCCAATGTGCATTTTCCTCTGCCACAGAGTAACAGTAGGAATAAATACACCATGGTTATGATGGAATATTTTACAAGGTGACCAGAAGCATATGTTGTTCCTAACCACGAAGCAGAAACTCTAGCAAGGACTCTCATTAATGAACTTGTTTAAAGATTTGGGGTGTCTATGGAACTTCACTCAGCTCAAAAACAGAACTTTTAATTGGCCTTATTTGCAGAAATGTGTAAGATCCTTGGAATAAAAAACCAGTACAACAGCCTTTCATCCATTTACTGATGGCATGGCGAAGAAATACAACTCTACATTTTTAAAATCAATAGCCATTTAAGTGGATGAACATCAGAAAATGTGGGATTAAGATCTACCACTGTTACTTATGAGTTGCCTCCCAGTATCACAGCGATATGTCTGTGAACTTACAATACTAGAAACCGGGTTTATATACCCGTGGAGGGCAGAGCACAGGTAGCCCATTGTGTAGCTTTGTGCTTAACTACAAACAAAAAATACTTACGAGTTATGGAACAGAAATACAGAAAAGCTACAGGTAGCACACAATCATCATTGGTGTTTCGGAGATAACTTAAATTAATACTGGGCCTCTGTTCTCACATCTTGCTGATAAGCACTCAGCAGAGTCTTATATAGGATGTGCAAAGAGACTAAGGAAAGGAACACCATTGTGGTCATATATGACTTTATACTGGAAAAAGTAAATTAACTAGTGATAAAATGAAAAGCCACTATGATGTTAACACTGACAAGACTAGATATAATCAAGGCGACATGATATGGATGTACAATCACAGCCACAAGAAAATGACAAACTAAAGTTAAGCAGGTATTCATAAGTATCATATGAAAAATCTGTGATGTGGTTTATAGAATACACAATGATAGGTGATCCAAGATCATCCACCACGACAGTCTTTGGAAGTACGTAAGTGAAAGAACAGCCAATGGGGAATTTCATAGAACAATTTGCTTATCCTGCTGAAGAGCCCGGGGTTCTTGTCGAGACCAATTCTGAAGCATCATGTAAAATGGAGCCACCAGTGAATTCACTCGACCACCTACTCTTGAAGAATTCCTCCTGTGATAGGACAGTACTTGCAGGTAGCCAGTTGTGAAGCTTTGCACTTAAAAATAATAATAATATGATGCAATATGTGGACCCCACTGGGACTGAATGGCATAAAACTAGAAGGAGGATTTATTCAAGAGTGTAATATGCATAAAAGGTGTAGATTTAACCATTTATGAGATAAATACACAGTGCATTTGAGAAATATTTAATGATCCAATAAACATACATTAATAAATATCACCATCATCACATATAAATAACCTTACAAACTCATTATACATAATAGAAATCAAGATATTATTTTAATACACACACAACTAGATTAGCATAACATAAAAACTACCCTAATTCAAGTATACAATATTCAGAATAAGTAAAGTGAAAACGACATTAAACTCATCCAAAAATGGCAAATAAAAACACAATGAGGTATGCAAAACATATTTTTGTGTTTCTTTCCTGTCTTCTTTAGTTTAGTAAGGCAGATATTTTAATTTACCTAGAATTTTCAAACTCTTTCACACATAAGTATTTCTAGTATTTCTGTGTGTGGTTTTTAAAATGGGATTTTAGTCAAGAAATGTTGATAAGTTATTTTCACTCTGGCTACATATTGTTCTGGGTCATTTCCATGTGGTGTTACATATGACTTGTCACAGGAAATATTGTTATAAAGCACAACACTATGTTAAGTGCCAGAGTACAATGATTTTTTTTTCCACTGGGAGGTCAGGTAATACCTTGAGATTATATCCTTTATCTTTTTTGTTAATGGAATTATTATCAGTGAAGTGGGTAGAGTTACAGTATGTAGATATTAAGTGTCCTATTTTCCTATAATGTATACTTCTTATATATAAAATCCATATTTTTTATGTTCTAATTCTGTAACTATCTAAATCTGTTTCAGATCACATGATAAATTACAGATTGGGGTATTACTCATTGCAGCTTGACCAGTCAAACAGCTTATCTGTTGTTTTGTGAGATAGTTGTATGGTGTCCTTCTTAACTTTGTGATTCTCAAATATAACAGTTACATGTTTACACTCAGGGCCCCTTTTTCTAATTAGTTAGTTATAAAAAGAATGTACTTTTTCTATGCAGTTTTGACTCTTTCTAATCTAATCTAGCCTTTGAAGAGTGCAGAATAAAGGATCCAAGATTTGCTTATGGAACTTCTGCTCTTGTCTCACCCCATTTTCTATCTTTTTATTGTGTAATCTATATTTATCTCACTTGAATAATTACTTGTTTTTATCTTAAACTTTTTTCTTTATTCAGCAATTAATGCGTTTCTGTTTTATTTTATCTTGATCTCAAGAACGTGTCTAGCCTATTTTATTCAACATCATAAATCACACAGCCCATTTTCTTCTTCATATTAATTCCATGAACTGCTTGGTTTTTGTGAAAGTCAGGTAAAAGTGCACAGATGTAACCTAAGATCATCACAGATAACCTTGATTGAACAAATATTGGTGATGGTGATCAGGATATAACCAATATGGAAGTAATAGCTTATTTGTACCGTCAGTTTCTTTGAGTCAATTTTTTTTATTTTTCTTCCTTGCATTCTTGTGAGAAATTAATTAAGCAATACCTTTATGTTCTGAAAATAATTTTAGTAGAGTGAAG